GAAGGCTTGAACAACGAATGTGTTTATGAACCCTACCTCCCATCAAGTCAGTACGAAGGCTTGAACAACGAATGTGTTTATGAACCCTACCTCCCATCAAGTCAGTACGAAGGTTTGGACAACGAATGTGTTGATTAACCCTACCTCCCAGCAAGTCAATACGAAGGTTTGGACAACGAATGTGTTTATGAACCCTACCTCCCATCAAGTCAGTACGAAGGTTTGGACAACGAATGTGTGTTTATGAACATAGGGTATTGATTTTCATTACAGATCAGTTACTTACTCACAAAAATAATCTTAACATCAAACACGAGTTCGTACCATCGTGATATTTGCACAGTATCCGCAATTGAACCTAAATAAATATCAGTTATGAAATCATATGTGGTACGTATATGGTATGGGTAATCAGTATGATATTACGAATCGTAAAAAAAAACAACAACAAAAAACTCAGCAAGTAAACTGTGAATCAGATATTCATATATAATATATCTTCGTGTATATTCTTACATTCATAACACTGTGACGTCTAACATTCACACTGTTTGGTTGTCAACATTGACTAGCAGGCATGCCTAAATGTGATACGCCAACATTCACAGTTTCTGGATACTTTCAAGATCACATCTTTGACTCAGAATGGTGAAACAGTGGACCTGATGAAACTGTCCACTGAGGTTCTTGTGACAATATAACATGAACATTGTGGATTTGAACGTTTCAATTCCTAGGTACTTTTTCACGTGACGTCCGTGCTTTCTGCTTGCTATAGTCGTGCTTTCTGCTGGTTACAGGAATAACATTGTAATTTTATGTCTGTTTCTCCTGTAATAACATCCCAAGGTAAACAAAGGTGTTTTGTAGTTGGTACACGATAGACTATCACATGTATTCCATTGACTGAACTTCATAAAAGTAGTTCTTTATGGAGACTCATAACCTTTGGAACACTTACGACGTTTGTTCGCAACTGACCAGTAAAACGTAGTGACCAAGAATAAGAACAAAAACTTCCATATTTGACATTATCAATGCATTGTCATGCTTCTGGACTTGGTTTTGTAAGAAAAGAGTTTTAAAGGCAATAAAAAAAAATTGAAATTAAAACCGAAAACCTACATACGAACTAAACCCAGCGGTTTGGATCACGCTATTAGTGTATAAAGTTCTTTTTGATCAAACAAAAAATCGTGACACTATGTCCATTATTTGTGAACAGTTTAAAAAATACCTAACTATCTCATGATTAGAGAGAGAAAAAACACACGCACTAAGAAATCAGGAGTCTATATTATTTTGATTTTACACGATGAAAATCACGTGTCTTATTACAATATGTGTGTGTTTGACTTTTCCACACACACACACACAAAATGTTTTAATAATAATGACGTTTAAACTTATTTTCGATCAGAGGTGTCGAGTACAACATAAGAACCCCCAGTGGCACAGCGGTATGTCTGCGGGCTTACAACGCTAGAAACCAGGTTTCGATACCTGTGGTGAGCAGAGCACAGATAGCCCATTGTTTAGCTTTGTGCATAAATTCAAAGAAGCAACATAAGAAGGCTGATCTTTTTTTACATGTGGTATTTATGCTTGATAAATTTATGATTCACTGAAGAAGTCTCTGCAGGGATCTCGTAAAGATGCCCACTTTTTTTACTTTCCCATTCATTTCTTTTTTTTTTTTAAATTAGCCAGTTCTTACTACAAAAAGACTGCTTGTTAACAGTTTTACAAGCTTGCGACTGTAGGTTCTTCCGAGGTGGCCCAACGTTTCCTTTAGAGCGAGACAAGAGACTTTAAAGATATGTTTCTATATTTTAACCTGACAAGTTTATTGCAGGCTTACCATGATTCGTCTTCTATTGGTAAGGAATCTTTCCAGTGAGCTGGATCTTGAGGCGTAACTGACGTCTCCACGGTGATGGTGGGAACGGTCTCTTTAGAGTGAGATTGAAACGAAGTATTTTGATCCACCACAGACATAGGTAATTCTAAAAAAATAAAATATATATTGTTCAAACCTTAGCATAATAATAATAATAATAGGTTAAAATCTGTTTTTAGCGTTCAACAATCTCAAGAGGCTACGTTTCCCGCAACGTCCGTGAAAAAGAACGTTTCATATATATATATATATATTTCTGAAACGTGGTCACCGACAAGGAGTGTTTGTTTGAATTTTGTCGAACAGATGAGTTTGTAATTGTAAATGGCCAACAATTAAAATGTTTAGTATTAGTGAAATATACTCTACAGAATGAAACACACCTGATGATGTAACTTTCTTTTATTCATACTTCAAATGTATTATTTGCATTTCCAGCCTGGATTATAGGTATTGCGCACATGGGTTAAACGGCCAGGTCAGAGGTCTCTACGTCTTGAACCATTGATCAGAGAGAAGGCAGCCAGTCAGCAGCACCGGCCGCATCAAGGGCTTTGTACAGAATAACAGGATAGATTGTCACTCGTACACCCCCCCCCCCAGCTGAAAGTGCGGAATGTGTTTGGCGGAGTCAGGGTGCGAACCTTGAACTTTTAGATTTATAGTCCTGCACGCTAATCAATAGGATATGCCAACTAATGAATGGCTCCTGTATAAACTGCGTTCATGGCCTGGTGGTTAGGGCGCTCGACTCGCAATTTGCAGGTTCGAATCCCTGTCACACCAAAACATGCTCGCTCTTTCAGCCGTGGGGTCGTTATAATGTGACGGTCAATCCCACTATTCATTGGTAAAAGAGTAGCCCAAGAGTTGGCGGTGGGTGGTGATGACTAGCTGCCTTCCCTCTAGTCTTACACTGTTAAATTAAGGACGGCTAGCGCAGATAGCCCTCGTGTAGCTTTGCGCGAAATTCAAAAACAAACAAACAATAAACTGCGTTCCTAAATTCAAGTGATTTTTTAGAGGGCAGGCTAGAATATAAAAACTTACACAATCACACTAACTTATTCTCCGCCGTTCTAAACGATATCAGACAGTACAAGTCAAGATGGAGGAAATAACTCTCTATTAAGCGATATCATATCACAATAAAATGGAATGAAACTGGGGTACGTCAATAAGTGGTATCAAATTTCTACCTTGAAAAAAAGTCTTGTAATAAGTTTTGAATTAGGACATCAGTGTTATCATGTTAAGACAACAGACTTGCTGATATAACACCAATTACGTCAATGCTAATCTAACCGGTCTACTAAAAGTTTCGTCTTCAACGTGAAAACAAATGTCAGAAAATTCACGAGTCGTTGTTTCATCCCTGATTTCTTTCATCAACACGCTCACTATCTTCTACATCTTCAGCTATGCCAGCCAGTGGCACAACGATACGTCTGCGGACTTACAACGCTAGAATCCGGATTTCGATACCGGTGGTGGGCATTGTGTAGCTTTGTGCTTAACTTCAAAACAAACAAACAAACAAATGTTCCATTTTTATTAGTTATCAAACGTTGGTCCTCCAGTGGCACAGCGGTATGTCTGCGGACTTACAACGCTAGAAACCGGGTTTCGATACCCGTGGCGGGCAGAGCACAGATAGACCATTGTGTAACTTTGTGCTTAACTTCAAAACAAACAAACAAACAAATGTTCCATTTTTATTAGTTGTCAAACGCTGGTTTAACTTCTACTGTAACTTATCTCCAATACATAACATAACATTTTCCCCTAAACAACAACAAACTCCATGGATATACTTAACCGATCATTATAATTACAAGCTACCGTTGACCGTGGAATAACTATCCAAGAACGTAACTTTCGAGATAAGCCGTCAGGTTTCTCTGTTGATCATTTTATACGTTTATTACACAGAGGGAGCGATTCCTGGAATTGCGCAGTAATATATATAAGATACTACTCTCTCTCCCCTGATATAAATATATATACCATTAGTGTACCCGGGTTTATAGTCTGTCATATAATAATTATATATGGATGACTTCTTATAGCAAGTGAATACTGACGGGTAAACCTTCAGACTGTATATAACTGTTATGGTTCTCAGACTGTATATAACTGTTATGGTTCTCAGACTGTATATAACTGTCATGGTTCTCAGATTGTATATAATTGTTATGGTTCTCAGATTGTATATAACTGTCATGGTTCTCAGATTGTATATAATTGTTATGGTTTTCAGATTGTATATAACTGTTATGGTT